GTCATAGTAGTTTTACTGACTCGCTTGCGAGTGAAATGATTAAAAAAATTTCCAATTTATATTATCTCCTACCTGGTTTGGACTAGTTCTAGATTATATTGTTCGACCTATTTAATTTTAAGAGAAGGGTTCATTTGAGTTGTACTTATAAGAAACATATCTACCCTCAATTGCTTTTGAAATTAAACATTAAATACTATAAATGCTTCTAGATATTTGTTGAATTAAACTAACTTTGATTGTTGTTCTTCTAATCAAATTATAGCAGCTATTTCTTGATACATAACGCCTTTTCAATACTTATTTCTAAAATACTGAATGTTTATATGTTTTAGTGTTGGAATGCTGAAAGAGAATCGATCAGACAAAAAGTTACCAAAAATCAAGCTGCTATTTTTATTTCATTTTAAATGATTGAATTCAGTGCTTCCATTTTGGCAGTGGTATTAATGGACGCTTGTTACCACAAATCTAAGAAGGTATTAAAAAATCAGTTATTTTCAGCTCTTTCACCTTGTCTTTACTGTTCTATATAAAATTGGTTATACCGTAAATAATAAAGATATGAATCGATGGTCTTAGCCACTTTGGTTCATATCTCTCCCACCTCAGCTACTTTTACCTGTCCCTCCCTCACCCAATTTGTTTGCAGGTGTTGTCGCTATTTTCTCTTCACTCGTAATCTGCTCTATCCCCATCTTTTGAATAATTTGGCATTTTCCCGTCCGTTAATTTTCCGATACACACATTTAGCACAATCTGGAACGATCTCTCTTTTTATACTAGTACGTGCCTTCTCTATGAATTAAGTCGTGTGTTTAAGATAATCATGTTATGTGCTTGTATCCAGGAGGATAGATTTACATTTGGTTGTTTTTAGGGTTTTTTTTTTTTGGCTTATCCGATATAAACTCTATGTGTGTGCGTGTGTGTGTATTAAAAAATAATTCGAGGGAAACATTTTCGTTACCCATTCGCATATCAACTTCATTTCCGACAAAAGACGGGAAACAGATATAAAACATTCATTATGTTATTCCTTCTTCTCTGTGCCGTGTCCCTTCAGAACGTGAGCGATCATAGCTCTCCACAACTTCCTGTCCTTTGTAGCTCTTAATAAGGTTTGTCATTTGCTATCTCTCCTAATCACTGTTCTGCCAACCATTTACAAAATCTCGTTAGGTAGGTTATTCACTGCTTTCCACCGACCCTCTTGGATTCAATATATCCTGTTAGTGACAAATTCTAGAGAATTTGTCACTGACAGCCTCTCTCCTTATTACGTGCGCGAGAAATTTCAATTGCCTGTTTCTAATTCAAGTAGGTGAGTTCACCTATTGCCCGGTTTACACTCCTCCCCGGTTCTTTGAACAGGAGTAGAGGTTTATCCCTTGTTTCCTGTTTAAGATTGGATTTCCAGTTCCTTCTAAAATCTTTTTCTTCTCTTTCGCTTCCTGTAACCTCTTGAGTTTTATTAGCATTATCGCCTACCTTGGGGTGAATTGATTAAAAACAATATGCGTCCTTTTTGTTCTCATTTTCCTTAAAACTTCCTCATTATTCACATGTTCAGCCTATGGGATTCTTATCACCCTTCTGTAGAATCACATTTCTCTAGCTTCAAGTGTGTTCTTCATCTGTGAGGAGATTTTCCAGCATTCCCTGCCATATAGAAGGACCGATATTGCATAACAGTTTCAGCACTCTTTTATAACGAAATCTTCCTTTTTTTCTTAATACTTTGCTAAGCTTTTTGGAATATTTTGAACATAGAAATAGCGATAGATTTGCGAAAGGCTTGCAACGTTGTGTCTGTAGAAAAGAGGTTGTTGGGTGAAGAATAAATCTTCCCCGACAAAATCGCTTAAACAATTTTGGAGACTGGAAAGAGGGAAGCTCCAGGCTAGATAATATTCCATTTTTGGTCTAATCTGACTTTTGTAAAGATAAAGAATAGCAGAAGGAGTCAGGTACTTCCTGGATTGATAAAATGAGTCGATCCTTTTTTTTAGTATCTTTAGCGATGGATTGTACATATGAGTTACTGTTGAGGTCTGGGGCGAATTTGAAACATCAAAGCATGAATCCTCATTAAAAGCGAGACCTTTCATCAAGACTGGAGAAAACTTTAAAACAAAAACTTAAAAAGTTGAAATTCTTTAGATTAGCAACATTCTATCCATGACGAGAGGAGCGCTTTAGAATTCTATATTTTATCTTTCATGGCATTTCAGTCTACAAGAAGTGTTCATTGGCAGTGAACACTTTTTTGTGGGTCTGTTTAATTGTCCCATAATTTATAATGTGAACCTAACACTTCCTCTTAGTCCCCAACACTGACTGCTGGCGCTAGCGACAAACTTACTATTGATATTTTGCACAAAGTATGTTTTTTTAGTATATTTGTTTACATTTCGCATTCTATTAGCTGTTGTTCGATGAGAATCTTTTGATAAATGTGCCCCTTCATCTGTGTTGGCTCGTAAACCTCCTCTAAAATGGCCTGAGGTGACTTATGATTTAAGTGATAAGTTTTGTAAGACGGAAAGGAAACTAAACAAAATTTATCAATAAAATCTGAATGATGAAAAAAAAAAGACTAGCTGAAAATGTTAATTCGCCTAACAACCAATAAAACTGGTCAAGAACAAACTGAGGGTCACGGCGAGATATGAAGTAGTGGCCGACTTAATAAAACGTATAAGACTGTGTGCAGCTTAGTAAATCCTCAATCTCACCCAATTCATCCCTTGCCTTTGATTACGTAGGTGGACATAACGAATAATGAATATTGATGAATTATTTTCAATCTTACAACCCTTTTTCCATAGATGCAAACTCCCATTCCTATCACTATTCTATCAATTTTTCTATGGAAAATGTTCTGACGAGCAACATTCCTCAGTTACACCAGTTCAGACCTTTACAGCTAAAACCCACCATGCCATATACACTGGGTCGACGCATCCTCATTCCCTTTGTATTCCATTGGTAAGAAGAAAATTCCATTCAAACAGCTTCTTCCTAATGGCCACTATGTCGTGGAACAGACTCATGAGATGAAGCTTCCTTGAGCACTACAATCTTAACTTCTTCAAGTCTAATGTCCTCATATTATTATGTCGATAAAACAATCCCACTCACTAATTCTCTACCTTGCGTGGCTCTTGGGCCATATATTGGGTGGACAATAGAGTAAAAAAAAAGAACCTGGATAATATCTGCCTTGTCACTAGAAGATGTTCAATGATCAGAGTCATGTTTATTTAAATATTATTTACTCAAAAATTCTTACTTCATTATGAAACAACATGGATAGGAAAATTCGCAAACTCTTGACTCTTAAATATGCATCTTGTTTTCAAACAATAAGCGTATTAAGAGTTAACTAAATTCATGTTGCCAACCAGACGATATCTATACAAAATGTGCACTGGCGCAAAATGTTAATCTGCATCAGTTAGAGTCCGGCGTTCATTGTGGGCATTTCTTGTAATTGTCGAATTGTCACCCTCTGCTAGTAGTTACATAATAAATTTCTGACTGAACACTGTTACTGTGTATCGCAGGGAAACTTGTAACGGACACATATACAAAATCCCCGCTGAGAAAATATTAACGAATTTAATGGAGGCAAAATTGGACCCAATTTTACCCATATTCCAGGACAAAACCTAATCCGTAGTAATAGAGCAATAATGGTTGCTTCAAAATTCTTAAATATACTTTTTTTTTTCAGTGAACTTACAATCTGATGTTCAGACACCGTAAATAAAACTGTTGATAAAAAATTCATGTTAAATACAGCAGTTTTGTTGTCTTTAAATAAATCTGAAGGACCTATGTAGTGTGTGTGTGTGTGTGTGTGTGTGTGTGTGTGTGTGTGTGTGTGTGTGTGTGTGTGTGTGTGTGTGTGATCATTGTTCGATGACAATCTCATTTGAGGAGATTTCGACTGGAGCTGAAAGACTTCAATGAATTCTAACATATGGATCGATTTGAACTTGATCTCCAGATCGAATACACAGTCACGAAAAGCCTGTACACTTTCAGCGACCTAGACAATGGTAATGGTAATATTAGCCGTTTCCTTATAAGGAAACATTCGGTATTAATTTGCCGGAGTACCATTGGCGCTGTCAGTTGAAATTTATAAAATATTTTTCTCTTAAAACAGTGTTTCAGACAAATAAGTTTCTCATTTTCAGTAGCTGTTAATGCTCTTTCCAGTATTGATGTGGGGGAGGGGTCCTTTCTAGCCCTTTTTTTTTGTGACAGTGTGGAACGTCAGTGTCTTGATTATGTCATTATTCTGTCTTTGGGTAAGATGTGCTAATCATTTTAGTTGTTGTTGCGGTCGAAAGTCCTCAAGTGATGTTTTTGTTTCTTGGTATGTTTTTTTGTCTGTGATTCTGTAGCGCCATTTCACGAGTCTCCAAGAAGTATTGTCCTCGCTGAGACCTACATGCTTCACTCGTTCGTAACCATTTTTAACCATAGATCTCAGAAAGCAGTTGTATACATCTGTCAATTTAGACATTTCTGAATAGGTTTGGCGTCATGCATGGCATCCATATTAAAATCTCGATCAGACGAGACTAAGAACATGACTCGAGTTTTTAGTTTAATGTTTTGATTTAAAAACCTTTGATTGGACGCTGCATCACATTTGTCGCCGATGACCGGAAGACAATGATGGATTAATCACGTCAAATAGTAAAGTGGCAGAGCTGATAAGATTACACGTTCTCAGTTAAAAAAATATATATCCCAAAATGGCATTGACTCACACTTTCTTTTAATATTTAATATTTAATCCCCTTTTTTAACAATATAGACTGAATATGGCAAACACGTGTCATGCTAGACATTTTATCAAACACTAGGACTTTTAACACGGGACAATATATAAGCAATATTACAATCATATTGTTTTCTCTTTCTTTCTTTTTGTTCATCTCTTTCCTTTTTCTTTCACGCTTTTTCTCTTTTCCTTTTAGATTCCTTCTTTCTTTTTTTGTTTATTTGCTTTCTCGCTTGCTTTCTCTTTCGTTCTTTCTTTCTCTTTGTTCATTTTTATCCCTTCTCTCTCTCACACACCTTCTATCTATCTATCTATCTATCTATCTATCTATCTATCTATCTATCTATCTATCTACCCAGCTAACAAAATGACGTTGCTACATCGTTTCTGCGACATAATATCGAGGTTGTAAAAACTCATAACGCTATATTAAATCTATTTCTACCTACATACCTCTCTATCTATCTATCTATCTATCTATCTATTCTATCTATCTAGCTAGCTAGCTATATATATATATATATATATATATATATATATATATATATATATATATATATATATGTTCATAACTGTCTATTTATCTATCCTTTTTTTTTTTTTAATTCATAGAACGTGCAAATTTACAAATCAAGTTGATAATTTTACCTTGTCGTTCATTACTTTAATTTTTCTTTCATTGAATAATAACCCGACTGAAGAGCTGTCGAAATATGTTTAGCTGTTCATTCTCGCAATAAAAATCTCATGACTTCGATTCACACTGGCTTCTCATGGCCTTGTAACAAATTTGACTCAGTTCAACAAATATTGATATAAGTTGGTATGAGTGCGATCGAAAAATATACTTTATATTTGTATTCACACGAAATATTTAATGATTGAAATTTCCGGTTTGTTTCTAAGTTCCGATTAACTGGCGGAAGTTACAGAGAGAAAATTATAGAAGCCATACAATACTGTGAGGATAAGTTCAACTCGTTCATTTTTTATTGAGACCAAAACTATTTTTGATAGTAAATGCATTTTTTTTATCATTGCACAAATCTTAAATATTTTCTTTCATTACCTTCCTTTATTTTCTCGTATTCTCTCATTCCTTTCCTTCTTTTTCTTTCCTCCTTTTTTTTTTCTTTCTTTTTCTTCTTCTTTCATTTCTTTATTTTTTCGTTTTTCATTTTTGTAGGTTTCTTTATCTTCTCTTTTTTTTTGCATTCTTTTTCCGTGTTTTTCCTTACAATTGATCAGTTTTCCACGTGTGGAAACTCTACCCGTCGTCCTAGCTAGAAAATCAGCATTCAAAATATTGGCTTCAGGCTAGGTTTGATGACTGACTGTTGACACCAACTCTTTCAGCCACGAGACTGAATTACTAACTTGAGCTCAATCTGGCACAAGGCCGCCGCAGAAGAAGAGCATCAGGTAAGAATTGAAATTCCTACCCCAATGAATTGTAGAGACAGCCATGTTTTCCTACATCTTTCTATTAATTTTTTCTGAGATTGTCACTCTTTTTGTTTTCATCCTTCCTATTCTTTGTATCGCTACTTATTAGAGAGTGTGTGTTATTTCGTATTTACCCGACGATGATGACGACAACTAAATAAAAGAAAAAAAGGAGAACATATGAGCGGTATTTAATTGAATCGTATACTTTAGAAAAAAAATCTCCCGACGCACGATGCCAAAACAGTAACTCCAAAGACAATACGGTTGTTTGTCGGGTAGATTTCCTTCAAATAGTAAGCAGAAAAAGAAAAAAAAATGATGAACATACTATGAAATTGCTTTTATCATTTGCTTATCTGTTTCTTCTTGCCGTCATCCTCCGTCCACTGAGTGCAGTTGATATGCTAAAGGCTGTGTAGTTTGTGAGCAAAGAACATTCATCACAGATTTGTCGAAGATAACAAGAACGAAGGAAGTTTGTCGGGAGGAAAACAAGAATCGGGTGGGGTACCGAAAGAAAGAAAGATGGCTACAGATAAAAGAAAGGGTAGTGAAATGAAGGAACAGACAGTTGAGAAAATAGAAAATATGAAAGGAAAACGCCTTTAAAGAATAAAAGAAAGAAAGAAAGGAAGAAAGAAAGAAAGAAAGAAAGAAAGAAAGAAAGAAAGAAAGTACCAGCAAAGGAAAGAGAGAATAAAGTAAGAAGTGAAAGAGTAAAATTACCGGCGCACAAAAAAAGGTAAGGAGAAAAAATGAATCTTGCAAGAAAAAAGAATCAAGATGATTGATAAAATAGGAAGAAAATAATTAGAGAAATAAAAGTGTTTAACAATGACGAATAATAAAAATAAAAATTAAGAAATAACTAAAATAGTAAAAACAAAAAAGGGGAACAAACAAAAGAAGATACCAGATAAAAAAACAAAAAAAAAACAAACAAAAAACAAAACAGAATATGGCGAAAGAGTAACGTGAAAGAGTAATAAAAAAAACAAAGAAGTAATGAAAGCAGACACAAACGAAAGAAGAATCTATGAAATTAAAAAAAAAAATCGGGTGCTGAAAAAATATGCGATAATAGATAAGACAAAATAGGTGAAAATTTAATGTGGAAAGGCGAATACTTTTCAGAAAGTCAGTCAGATAAAAAAAGAAAGGAATAAACAAAACAGATGCTAAAATGAAATTTAAAGAAAGAAAGCGCAAGGAACAGATTTAAAGTATTTTTTTTTAGCTCGTTAATATCATTGCATAGTAATAGTAGTATTAATAGTAATAGTAATAGTAATAGTAGTAGTAAGGAAATTTCAATGATAATCGGAATTACAAGGAAACTGATGCCAATACTCAGAAAGAGACATATGAAATTTCTGATATACACAACGAAAAAAGAAGGTTTGTAGAATTTAATGCATACCGAACACATTGAAGGCAGAGAATCAGGAGAAAATTGCGAGTAAACAACGAGTTTAAATGACTGATTAAGAAATAAGATATGATAAATGGTCAAAAGTTACTTGGATCAACGAAAAACAAAAAGTAAACAATGTCACGGAGGGCCATGATCGCCTACGTCCTGAAAGACCATCATGTATAAAAGAAATAGTACTAATTCTAGATTTGTTTTTTTTTTTTTTTTTTTTGTTTGTTTGTTTGTTTTTTTTAAATATTTTGACAGATACAAAAAGAATCCAAACGATTGTGACAATAATTTTGTTTGCACGTGCTCCGGGAACTTCTTTTAAGGAATAAATTAGTACAGAAAATGTACAAATATATAGAACCGCAGGCACCAAAAAAAAAAAAAAAAAATTTAATCCGTTCTTCCTTGACATTTGATCGTCGACATCTTTCTTAGCGACCCTGTTCAAACGAGTCATCTCATCAGAATCAGTGACACATTGACTCAGGACCTAAATAATTTTACGACAGACTTAAGTTTTTCTTTTCTTTTTGAGAACTTCAGAAGATACCAATCTTTAAGAGTCTATCGTTTCTTTTTAAAGCATTTGTTTCTTGGATTTCGATTTTTCCTGATATGAATTTAATTCTCTAAAAATCTTGAATGATCGAAACAGGAAAAAATGGTCTAATGAAGAATTACACTAACGGAAAAAATGAATGAAATTTCGGAATAGTGTCTCTTATCAGAAATAACAGTAAGAGAAAGTAATAGGTACAAACGTTGGATGAAATAATGGTATATTTCCTTATTATTTAGTTCAGAGATTTCAGTTAGCGTTCTGATTATAAATATGGGTTTGTTCTTTTTTTACTCACTTTTTACTCTAATATTTGACAGTATTTTGGACCATTGAACCGCTCGTCAACAAGAATCAGCTCAGATTTCCCTCCAAACTAAACAACGCTCCATACCATTACGCCAATCCCTCCATGTTTCACGGTCGCCTGCAGACATTCAGTGTTCCAAGTTTCATCCTGATTTCTCCAAACATAAACCTATCTCGAATTCGAATATTGGCAGAATTTACTTTCATCTGACCAAATTACAGACTGACAAAATTCATAATCTTTCCTCTCGAATTCTCTCACCCAGTCCATACGAAGGTTCCTGCTAACCTCTGAAATCAAAGGATTCTTTCTTGCAACTCTTCTTTGATAGCTAGATCTTTCAAAGTCATTCTTACAGTATATGGCGACATTTCCATGCTGTTGGCAACATCTTTGACGACGTTTTCTGATGACTTCCCTATTCAGTGCCCTTTTCGTTCGCTCAGACACGATGCTTGGTCTTCCTGAATTTTGTTTCACATGACAATGGCTGTCTTCAGAAGAGACGTTATTAAACAAGCCAAAATTGCTGTAATCATGGATGGTTAAAAACTTACCGTAGCCCACTGTAGTCTAGTCGTTAGTGTTTAGTACCAAGGTTACTATATTCTCCATTACGATCTTGAAGCTCAACATATTAGACATGTAATATACCTTGTAGAGTCAATCAAACACGCACACACATACACACCCAGATATATATATATATATATATATATGTATGTATATCAAGTATGTGGTGCAGTTCAATTTACATTACATGAATCATTCATACAAAAAACAGATATAGAAGTTAATGATTTAAATGGCGAGAATACATCTTCGCAAACAAATTTAATAAAGTACATTAACCCCGAACCTGTATATGGATGTTATGATCCCTGTTTATAAATTCCAGTTGCATAAGGTCTATTTTAGTTTTTACAAGATTAGGTATGGAAATAGATTTGTTTTTGTTTTTTACTTCTCGGTAATAACAGGACAACGAAAATATAGATGTAATCCGAAAAATGTTTTTAGAAATGTGTTATTGTTAATTGTAAGAAATTATTTTGGAGCGTGCGGTCGCAACACTCAGGTTGAATTTTTAAATTTTAAGACTGTGAGTTTTTGTACTAATATAGTAATAGGAGAATTCTTTTGTACCAGTAGGTTTTTCAGTCAATGTGACATGAACAAAATTATTCAATAAATACAGGAATGTCACAGTTATTATCCGAAAGTTGCACGTTGGATCAGTTATTTTAATAACAAGTATGTAGTGCAGTTCAATTTACATTACATGAATCATTCATACAAAAAACAGATATAGAAGTTAATGATTTAAATGGCGAGAATACATCTTCGCAAACAAATTTAATAAAGTACATAACCCGAACCTCTATATGAATGTTATGATCCGTTTATAAATTCAAAGGATATGGTACTTTGTTTACTGAATCTCATTTATATCCAAATTTATGATTATCAGTCGAATACCTTAGGGTGAATAAACTTTTTTCCTAAGTGTTCGGGAAGGGGTCTTTATATTAGTAAGATTAAAAATTATTTTAACCCCAAAAACAATAGACAAAAAATATTTTTAGTAAAAAAAATCAGGTGAGTCACTTTTATCGAAC